CCTTGTACCATCCGAGATAATCGAACAAGCCAGGCTCGATGCACATGCGCAAGCCACTCATCTGCAGTCCCTTCAGCAGCCCTCTGGCGGTCGCGATGCAGCGCATGGCCGGGGAGACGAAAATCCGCTGAGGCAGTAAGTTCTTGGAGTGCAGCGCTCTACCGATCATCTTAGCTTCTAGTCTTCCCAGGATCGTGATTGGACAGTCGCACCGGTATGCCATGCGTCCTCCAATTCTCTTCGGTAGCCTCACAGGTAGATTCGCATCGTACGGCATATATTCTCCCTATAGAGGAAAGGAAACATTGTCTTCCAGCATTTGGTGCCTGCTGTAGTTTACTGCTGTGGCATCGCATTTCTGTAAATTTGCATTTACTTCATTATTTACCATTAATTTCGTAGGGCAAGACTGAGTGAGTACTGCCTGCACAGATGGAAATTCCGGAATTCAACTAAGTAGAAGTTTGAAACGAACAGTCAAACTGAGGACCATTGAATATCTGTTTCACCAAGCATAGGATAAACAGTTCGAGGGTGTCCTGTAATGGTGTTCCCCCCTAAACACTCAACTATGGTAACGAGCTCCTAAATGTCGTCGGAAAAGAACATGAGTGCTTAAACGTCTAATCATAGAATCTAAGGAATCGTTGTACATGTTGGCTAACGAATGTCAGCTGTGTAAAGAGTTGACTAGCTCGTAAAGTTTGAGTGACAACTGGAATGTCATTGGCCAACTCATCCGGAAGGTGTAATAGATCAAATGCCACTGTCATTTAAATCACACTTTTATTTTATTTTTTTTGCTGATTCATTTGTGTGATATAACCTTGATGAAAACGCTGGTGTGTGGCGTCAAAACTTATCTCTGAGTAAAGGAAATTATATCAACGTTTTTAAGTTGTTGTTCTGAACCATGGGCTGAGAAATGATGATAATTGATTGTTATCAATAAACGTTTTGTGCATTCCATACTTCCATACCCATGACACTAGATATTTTGGCTTGCATACGTGACCCGTTGATGTTTTCCAATCTATATCGAAGGACCACATGCCAATATTTCATTTACTCTAACTGTGCAACTAACGAATATGGCAATAAGAACTCCAAGATCAAAGATGGCCAGGGTCTTCAAGTATCTGCCATAAGCATGACAAGAATGGTACATTTATGACACAGTGACACAGTGCGAAGCCTCTCTGTAAAACTGGTCCAATAGTCAGCTTTGTCAAAGAGTCAAGTATAAATCTACTTTACACTCAACGACATGCTGAGAGGGAGCAACGACCAGAATAACAACAGCAAATGTGGCACCTGCTGATTATCACACTGAATAAGCAGCTATCAGATGAGTGAACCTGCACTATCGCAGTGGATCGGCTTTTCAAGATTTAGAGCGATGTAGCAGGAAAGAAGTTCCCTGCTCTGGGAACGATGCAGCCTCTTGAGCTACCTTTATGCCCAGCTGCCGTAAATTGTCCATCAAAGCACAGCATGCAAACAAGTGACGCTCACGAAATTATTGGCGCGTATTATAACGAGCAAAATCACACTGGAAGTCATACTATGAGAATACAACTTAACAGTGATTATGTGAAGGCGCACGCAGATCGACGTGAACAATTCAAGAACAGCCGAAACATGGACAGTCGGACAATGCTGAGAGAAATTGTTAGTTTCCATACTCTGGGCAGTTATTTGCACTTTTCTAAAGTGGATAATGGATTGGATGCTGTATGGTCACGAATTCCAATGAAATGCAGTCTCTCCACACACAGTGGTGCATCAATATCTTCCGTGGTGACAAATCTTAGAACCGTAAAGGAAACGAAACCTCAAACGGCTGACCGCATTGTGGGCTGTTACCGCAGTCCGTCGATTTTCAACACTCCTTCCTTCCTGTAACTCTAGAATCGGAAGAAACCTTCTCCGAACGTACAGGCATTCTGACTGGGTATGAATGTCGAATGGGAATATAGCCTCAAAGATTCTGACCGAACCAAACCGACCTTCGAAAATCTGGTAGTGGGTTGGGCTTTGCATGGCTGATAGAAAATGCTACGCTTGGATTTGAATTATGAGTCGGAATAAGCTGGGCGAAAACAAGTCGCTGTCATGACCTCCCCAAAGCAGAATATATTCCAACTATTCCGGTATTACCATATTCACGTTGCTTCATTTTGCACAATTCGGAATAAATTGATTTTAGCATATTTTGCTACACAATCATACTATTATGATATATATATATATATAGTCTTAATTT